AGAGAGAGAGGCAGAAAGTGAGAAATCACCCCTCTCCAGGGGGATGGTCATGCTGCAATCAATCCCTTCCCCTCAGGATTTTGGGCATGCACACACACATGCCTGGCACATTTCTCAAGCCACTGTCTGGGACTTGAATTGCACTGTTGGCCATGTGGGATCCAATCGCCTTAATCACTGGTTGGCTCCCCAGTTTTGCAAATGAGGTAACAACTACTCACTTCATGGCACTGTAATGAAGATTGAGATGAAATGCAGTAATGGGGCTAGCAGGAGGCATGGTAGTTAAGGTCCTGGGCTCTCATATGGTGGACCATGGTTCGGGTCTCAGACTTGGAGGCTTGCTTTCTCATTGTCTCTCTCTGGAGACGTGCCCTATAGGAAATTAAAAAGTAATAATAGGGAATGCAGATAGTGTAATGGTTATATCGCTGTACTCCCACATGGCCAAATGTGGTTCAAGACCTAGACCTGGAGCCTTGGGACTCATGCTGGGCACATGTGCATGTGTGTCCAAAATCCCAAGAGGAGAATGGAAGAGAAGGGATTGCTGTGTGACCATCACCCCTAGAGGCGTGATTTATCTTGCTTTCTGTCTCTGTCTCTTGGGCAACCACATGTGCCCTATGGCAAAAATCTCTCCAAAGAAGAGTAAAGTAAAAATAATAAATAAGTAACTTTTAAAAAATGGCAGTTGCCTTCATTTTTTCTACTCTTCTTCATTATTGTCCCCTCATACAAATAAGCATAGCAGTACTAAATTATGAAATCACTTTGTTTCCTGTGCTTAAGAGGGTTCCAAACTCTGAACAGTATAAGAATCAGAAAGTGATGATTCGGAGTATAATCTGTGGATTAAACATGTTAAATAGGAGCAGTAGACAGAAGTCTAAAGATGTCCTCCATGATGGCTGCCTTCCAAATATTCAATCAAATACTAATCTAGGTATTGCTGTGAAGGGACTTTGTAGCTATAATTAAGGCTATGGACCCTCAACAGGGAAATCACCTTGGATTACTCAGTGTGTGCAATCTAATCACCCAAACCCTTAACAATAAATCCATGGTTAAGACAGCTAGATCCCATATGGTTATGTGGTTCAAATCCTACTCCCGATGGCTTAAAAACATGTCAGGTGTATGTGCATGTATGCTCCAAATCCTGATAAGGTGGAAAAATGAAGAACAGAATGTAGCATGACTATGCCCCATTTGGGAGTGCTTCCTCTTTATCCCTCTGCCTCTCTCTTTGGTGAGCACACACACCCTCTAGCAAAGCAAAGAAAAAAAAAAAGAGAGAGAGAGAGAGAGAGAGAGAGAGAAACATCTCTGACAGGAGTTAAAAACATATGGGGTCAGAGATTCAAATTAAGGAAAACTTGACTAGCTATTGCTGTTTTTGAAGATGAAGGTAGGGGAGCCAGAAGCCAAAGAATGTGGATGACCTTTAGAAACTGAGAATGGGGGCTGGCAGGTAGTATGGTAGTTAAGGATGCTGGACCCCCACATGGCCAACCACGGTTCAAGTCCTAGACCTGGTAGCTTGCTTTCTCACTTTCCCTCCTTCCTCTCTATCTGGTCAAATTAAAATAAATAAATACATAAATAAAGTTAAATAAAACATAATTTTTTTAAAAATTAAAAAAAAATAGCTGGGAAGATGGATGAGTGGAAAGAGTAGCCACAGTCTAATCCTTGAAATCCCTCTGCTTGACCTGGCCTAAAACTGAAGTGAGTTCTAGTTGCCCTTATAACCTAGTCCTCTCCAAATGTCCCTTAAGACTTGACCTGGTGGTGCCTTTTGTCCTGGGGTCAGTGACTGATGCAGGTGAAGAGCTGAATGATGGGATGAAAAGGAATCTTCAGAGGTCCATGCTGTCATTTATTAGTTATGCAAACTGAGAAAATCTTACAAAACAGGAACTTAAGCATCAGCTCCCATTTCTTTTTCTTTCTTTCTTTCTTTTTTTTTTTTTTAAAGTTTGCAATAGGGTGTGCGTGCTCACTGGAAACAGACAAACACACACACACACACACACACACACACACACACACACAGAGAGAGAGAGGCAGAAAGTGAGAAATCACCCCTCTCCAGGGGGATGGTCATGCTGCAATCAATCCCTTCCCCTCAGGATTTTGGGCATGCACACACACATGCCTGGCACATTTCTCAAGCCACTGTCTGGGACTTGAATTGCACTGTTGGCCATGTGGGATCCAATCGCCTTAATCACTGGTTGGCTCCCCAGTTTTGCAAATGAGGTAACAACTACTCACTTCATGGCACTGTAATGAAGATTGAGATGAAATGCAGTAATGGGGCTAGCAGGAGGCATGGTAGTTAAGGTCCTGGGCTCTCATATGGTGGACCATGGTTCGGGTCTCAGACTTGGAGGCTTGCTTTCTCATTGTCTCTCTCTGGAGACGTGCCCTATAGGAAATTAAAAAGTAATAATAGGGAATGCAGATAGTGTAATGGTTATATCGCTGTACTCCCACATGGCCAAATGTGGTTCAAGACCTAGACCTGGAGCCTTGGGACTCATGCTGGGCACATGTGCATGTGTGTCCAAAATCCCAAGAGGAGAATGGAAGAGAAGGGATTGCTGTGTGACCATCACCCCTAGAGGCGTGATTTATCTTGCTTTCTGTCTCTGTCTCTTGGGCAACCACATGTGCCCTATGGCAAAAATCTCTCCAAAGAAGAGTAAAGTAAAAATAATAAATAAGTAACTTTTAAAAAATGGCAGTTGCCTTCATTTTTTCTACTCTTCTTCATTATTGTCCCCTCATACAAATAAGCATAGCAGTACTAAATTATGAAATCACTTTGTTTCCTGTGCTTAAGAGGGTTCCAAACTCTGAACAGTATAAGAATCAGAAAGTGATGATTCGGAGTATAATCTGTGGATTAAACATGTTAAATAGGAGCAGTAGACAGAAGTCTAAAGATGTCCTCCATGATGGCTGCCTTCCAAATATTCAATCAAATACTAATCTAGGTATTGCTGTGAAGGGACTTTGTAGCTATAATTAAGGCTATGGACCCTCAACAGGGAAATCACCTTGGATTACTCAGTGTGTGCAATCTAATCACCCAAACCCTTAACAATAAATCCATGGTTAAGACAGCTAGATCCCATATGGTTATGTGGTTCAAATCCTACTCCCGATGGCTTAAAAACATGTCAGGTGTATGTGCATGTATGCTCCAAATCCTGATAAGGTGGAAAAATGAAGAACAGAATGTAGCATGACTATGCCCCATTTGGGAGTGCTTCCTCTTTATCCCTCTGCCTCTCTCTTTGGTGAGCACACACACCCTCTAGCAAAGCAAAGAAAAAAAAAAAGAGAGAGAGAGAGAGAGAGAGAGAGAGAAACATCTCTGACAGGAGTTAAAAACATATGGGGTCAGAGATTCAAATTAAGGAAAACTTGACTAGCTATTGCTGTTTTTGAAGATGAAGGTAGGGGAGCCAGAAGCCAAAGAATGTGGATGACCTTTAGAAACTGAGAATGGGGGCTGGCAGGTAGTATGGTAGTTAAGGATGCTGGACCCCCACATGGCCAACCACGGTTCAAGTCCTAGACCTGGTAGCTTGCTTTCTCACTTTCCCTCCTTCCTCTCTATCTGGTCAAATTAAAATAAATAAATACATAAATAAAGTTAAATAAAACATAATTTTTTTAAAAATTAAAAAAAAAAAAAAAAAGAAAAAGAGAATGACCCCTGGCCCAGAGTCAGCAAGGAAACAGGGACCTCAGTCCTGTAACAAGGAACAATCTGGAGAACCAACATGAAAGAACTTGGAAACGGATTCATCCCCAGGGCTTCTGGAAAGGAACACAGTCCTGCCAACACCTTGACTTTGGCCTCTTGAAACCCAAAACAAAGAAACCGGTTAAACCACGTCGGATGTCTGACCTACAGAGCTGTGAAATAATAAACAGATGGTATTGTAAACCACTAAATCTGTGACAACTTGTTATGATAGCAATAGGAAAATGCAAAAAGTATTTAAACCACCTCAATAACCTAGGATGGAGATATTATTATTACCCCTGTTTATAGATGAGGAAACTGAAGCGTAGTGAAAATGCTCTGAGAAAATCTGCAGGTGTAATATGTCTCAAGAACAGTCATTCTTGGTGGAAGTGTTTGCTACCAAGTTTATTTGCAATATCAACATCACAACATTTACAAACTAATTTTGTACAATAAAGTCTGCAGTCCTTACACACTGAGGGGCTAGGGAAAACCTAGTCCTTCCAGTAGCTACAAACAGTCCTGTATAATGAGTTTATAAAAAACATCTTCTCATCCTTTAGCAAGTGAAATTATTTATAAAGCTGTACAGTTCAGCAACAGGGAGCAAAGGGAAAAAAAATTATCTCAAAGAAACTAACAGTGCCTTTCCTGGTGGGATCCATCATTTTATAGACATGAAATATTCATATCAGAGATCTTCTATTTTAAGAGAAACAGGTAACATACCAGAGCTATGACAATAAACATTTTATTATTAACGGAAATTTAGAAGACTCACTTTGGATACCAGTTTTTGAAAATATTCTGCCGTTTCAGAGCGCATTCTCTGTGCACCACCCCCTGCCACACACACTTATGGCATGTAGTCATGCTGCAATACTTTTTCCTTCACTTCTCCATCCCTTTAGGATTTTGGGAACACATGTACACACATCTGCCATATTTTCCAAGTCACTGGGGCTGGGGTTCAAACTGTGGATGGCCATGTGGGATCTAGCTCCCTATGTATTGCACTGAACTACTATGGGCTGGCCCCAAGGAGCACATTCTTTAGAAGCCCAGACTTTTGGAGAAGAGCTCTATTTAACCATCGAGTTTCATACTCTTATCCATTATCTGCCTCTGAATATAACTCCAATGCTCCACTCCAACTGCTGCATGATTTTAAGTCATATCAAAAAATCCCAAGCACTCTCCTTCCATGGAAGTGTCAACTTCTAGCCTTTATGAACAGAAGGTTTTAGAGAAGCAAACTTTAGGAAACCAGCTATTCTCTTAATGCCAAGCCATCCTTTGGCCTTAAGTCAACAGCCTTAATACAAGAAATAGGGCTGATAAATAATGAATTAGCATCTTGCTCAATTGTTGAGGTTTAAACGGTTTTAAATTCTTCTGAGGTGAAAAATTACTATAATTTTGTTCTCATGGCAGATTTCAAAGGGAGACTTAAAGTAGAAAATCTTTAAAGGACCTTTGCATAGCCAGAAGTCCTTTCAGGCCAATGTTCATAAAATATTTAGTAACTAGGACTGTGGAAGGGCTAAAGAGTGAAACAAGCTCCCAGGGTCCCTAAAGGCTGTCTAAGCTGACTGTTGGACTCTTGTGGCTTTTGATATGAGGCTGCCTGCAATCAGCAGCGGCTCTGGGGGATCTGGGGTACCAGGTAGGTGTCCAGCTCCTGGCACTGGTAGAGGGCTACGCTGTCCAATACCCATTCTCGTGTCACCACAGGTGCTTCACACAACTGCCCAATTGCTGGAGACAGAGAACATAAGCAGAGATTAGAGTCATTTCACATTCTCCCAGACCAAAGAGTCCAATCAATTTACTCCAGGACCTGGTTATATGAGTTCTTAGGTTAATCAGATAGGAATCAAACTGTTGCTCTTAAATTCTTCAAGACAGGGACCAGCAGCTGGCGTGATGGTTAAGGCTCTGGACATTTCCACATGGCTGACCACAATTCGAATTCTGGGTGGCTTGTTTTCCCATTTTCTCTCTCATCAAATTAAATGAATGAATAAATAAAACTGAATAAATAATTTGAAAAAAAAAATCCTCAAGACATAGGACCCTACTCAGAAGGGAGGAATGGCTGCTGGTGACATCTCACATTCTCTGGCAACTGTATTAATATGAGCTCCAATCTGTTAAAGGAAAAGCCACCATGAGAGCAAAACAGCATGCAATTTAATGATGTGGGAAAATGTCTGCAATATCTTTAGTGAAAAAGCAAAACGATATGATCACATTTGTGTGTGTATACACACATATGCACACACACATGTCTAGAAGAACTTTTAGGTGATCATCTCCAAGAGGTGGGATTACTGGAATCATTTTATTTTTGTGCTGGTTTATATTTTCTGTGATGAACATTCATACTAACCTCCCCTCACTGAAAAGGATTCATGCAATACTCTCATATAAAATCAAACAAAAAAATAAGACTTTTACAAAGACATTTTAGACTTTCATTCAACAAATATCTAAAATGTGCTGAGAATTGTGCTACTCAAACACCAGGTAATGAGTGGAGAACCAAACCCATCCAACCGGACCCCATTCAACACAGGTGCATGCGGGCACCTTACCATGGAAGCCATCGTCCTCTGTCCAGGCGTCTGGCTGCACGACCACAACTGGGTGAGCACCCTGTACACCCAGGAAGGAAACAGTATAGAGAGTCAGAGCGGGACTTTGAGAACATCACTATTTCTTGATGATTCACTAAAGCAGACTACTCTGGGGGCAGTCAAAGAAAGGAGAAGGGCACACACGGCAGAAAGGGTTGAGGCAGGAGCTTTCCCTCAGCGTACTAAATATGTGTAGTTCCCACGTCCTCACTCAATCCCTATAGATGGAGTTTTCTGGCACAGGTACGTGGTCAGACAAAACTCCCGAGGCTACATCAGAGAAGGTGCAGGGGACCGACAGATGCCAGCTTTGTTCAGTCACAGGAAAAATAGCATGTCCTCCCTCTGAGACAGGGCAGCAAATACTCACTGTGCCAACGCTGAAACAGGAAAGCTCCTTCACCACTGAAGCCCCACACAGCTGCACCATCCACTCCAGCTGATCTAAATAGGACATTTAGACTTAAAATCACCACAGTAATCTGCACACCTAACCTGGGGCCCCCATCCCAAATTCCTCTGGGTGAAGGCTTACAGCAAGACTTAGAAAAGGTCCTCTTGTCTTTCTGCTCCAAAGGACAGAAAGGCCTTAAACTAGAATCCCAATTAGGGGAATGGATTTAAAGTCGATCTGCCTTTGAATTGTTCCCTACTCTGGTTATCAGTCTCCATAAGGGCATTTGGTAGATAAGGTTTGACAGTCTCTCAAAGAAAACACTTGGAAAGAAAGAAAAAAAAAAACACTCAAGATCTAATTTCTATTAATTTTCTAACTTGCTGGCTAAAACGCTGTATGAAAAAACACCCATCTTCTCCCTCCCTCCATCCTAGCCCTATGCTGGTAATTGATAATCACGGCCACTGAGAGCACCACCCTTGGTGGTAATTACTGAAAATGTCAGGAGGTGGGAAGATAATTCACCCAGTCAAAAAAATACATGTCATCCTGCTCGAGACTCAGCACATCAGTGGAGAGGTTCATGCTGAGTTGGAGTCACATACTCAGGAGAACAGAAATGAGAAGAGATTGTAGAGATGATCCACTTATACCTTGTAAATTAGAAAAAATGACCAAGGGGTACTTTCTCGGGATGTGCTTTTCTTTCTTTCTTTTTACATATTCACTTTTATTTATTATTATTTTTAAAATTGGACCAGAGAGAAACAGAGAGAGGGAAAGTGAGAAAGCAAACCCCCATCATGGGACTTGAACCATGGTGGGCCATATGAGAGTCAAACGCCTTAACCACGCCACCTGCTGACCCTGGGATATGCTTTCAAGGCAGGCACATATGCTGCTTTTCCCCATTAGCCCATTTCTGGAGATTTCTGAGGTACTCCTCTCTGACTGATTGAACTGAGGTTGACTCATCACCGAAATAATACCGGCTAGAGGCCTTGTTTTTCACTAAAACAAAGTACAAAAACACCGAGAAATCCTTGATGGCACTTGAAATTTTCATAAAAATCCAATCAATAACCAATAAAGAAGACAAAGGCAAAATTACACTGCAAGGCTCTGTTGTTGCTACTCAGCTGCCTGTGACCAGATGCTAAGGCCATCTTCCGAACAGTAAGAAGACCTGAGTTCCCAGGGCAGGAGAGAGGCACAGGAGGCAAAGGTGGGTAGCCTTTGTTTTGAAAGCATGAACCAAATGCCTACTTATACCAGGGCCTTAGTGCAACACAACTCTACAACTGAGCCCCACAGCAGTCCTACACAACACATCACATTCAGTGTCAAATTTAATTAGAAAATGTTCATCAGGAGCCTTTCTCTGCTCTGGGCCTGTGTGGGGCCCAGGCCCATAGGGCTTATGCAAGCTGTTGTGCTTTCTTCTCTGCATTAAATTAATTTGGTTTAAGAAGAGCAGAACTCCTTTTTGACGTTTACAAACTCAAAAGTATCTTCTCCCTAATTTATTATTCCCAATCTTTCTTAAGCCCAAATGGGCAATAAGAATAGTTCTACCCCATCTGAGCACACATCAGTGTCCCATATCCTAACTCTTCACTGCCTTGGTGCTCATGAGAAGCAGCACAAGGCCTAGCTTTTTTCCAGAGGCTAATATTTAAGTACTGTTTTGTCTGGACAGTGCAGAGAAACAGAATAACCTCGAGAACTTCTCACCAATCTGAGGAACCCCCATGGGGTGATCTTACCGATGATGCCACTGCTACATATGAAAAGGCTGAAGCTGGAACTCCACAGCTTTCATAGTCTCTTACCTGTGGGCATGTTGGTGAAGGGTCCATAGCAACAAATTTCTAGGCCCTTGAAGATCTGGAAGGGAGAGGAAGAGAGACAGGAGGATAGAGAGAAAACAGTACTATATATGAGTATGGGCTTTCATAAAAAAAAAAAAAAAAAAAAAAAAAAAAAAAAAAAAGACTCTCAAAAAGGAAGAACTTCTCTTTATCTTTCCTTTACCATGTAACAATTTTCTGCTGCTAGTTCCCAGAGACAATCATTCCAACACCCAGAATGCTGATGAATCTCAGGAGACCTATTCGAAGTACATCTGTAGTTTATCTACACTCCACAGCCAGTCTGTCATTCAGTGGCTGAGCATCTCCTCATGTCACCAATCATGCTCAGGCCCCTCCCCAATGATCACTGCAGGTGATATCACTTTTTGTTAGAGATGAAAGGTCCTACTTGCTGTTTCTTCTTCATTTGAAAAAGAGATTTATTTGTTTTATTTTATTTATCATCATTATTATGTTTTAATTAATTTATTTATTTTTAAGAGACTTTTTTCCCTTGCTCTCAGGGTGTGTGCACTTGCTGGAGAGAGAGACAGACAGACAGACAGACAGACAGTGAGAGGGAATATGAGAAATCACTTGCCGGGGGGAGATGGCCATACCTCAATCCCTTCTCCTCTAGTCTCCTCCCAAAATTTTAGGCAAGCATGCATAAGTGCCTGGCATGAGTTTTAAGCCACTGAGTCTGGGACGTGAACCATAGTTGGCCATGTGGAAGTCCAGTAATGCAACCACTATGCCATCTGCTGGCTCCTATTATTATGATTATTATGTTTTTTAACCAGAGAGGTGGGGAGGGGGAGTGAAAAAGCAAGCTGCCAGGTCTGGGACTTGAACCGGTCAGCCATATGGGAATGCAGAGCTTCAACTTCCACACCGCCTGCCAGCCCCGCTTTTTAAAATTTTTATTTTAGTTTTTGCTATAGGGTGCATGCACTAGCCAGAGAGACAGGAGAGAGAGGGAAAGAAAGAAAGCACCCACCAGGAGGGAGTGTCCAGTACCTTAACCACCATGCTACCTGCTGGTCCCAAACATTTTTTTTTTTAAGAATTTTTAATTTAATTTAATTTGTTGTTACTTATTTATTTTTTAATTTGACCAGAGAGAAAGGGAAAGTGAGAAAGCAAGCTGCCAGATCCAAGATTCAAACTGCAGTGGGCCATGTGGGAATCCAACACTGCAACCACTGTACCACCTGCTGACCCCATGAGATAATTTTAAAAAATAATTTTAAATTAATTAATTAATTTAAAAAATAATTATTTAAAAATTATTTTATTTATTTATTTTGATCAGAGAGGGACAGAGTGAGGGAGAGAGAGAGGAGAGAGAGAGGGAAAGTGAGAAAGCAAGCCACCAGGTCCAGGACTTGAACCATGGTCAGTCATGTGGGAGTCTAGTGCCTTCAACAACCATGACACCTTCTGGCCCCTAAAAAATATTTAAAAAGACAAACCCTTGTGTAGAGGGCTTAATTCATTTATTTTAATTTTGACCAGAGAGAGATACAGATAGAGAGGGAAAGTGAGAAAGCAAGCCACCAGGTCCAGGACTCAAACCGTGGTTGGCCATGGGAGTGTCCAGAGCCTTAACCACCATGCCACCTGCTAGCCCCAAAATAATTATTTAACTTTATTTATTTATTTATGAAGAGGTTTTTTGCTATAGAGAGTGTGCGCTCGCCAGAAAGACAAAGAGAGACAGAGAGACAGAAAGCGAGAAATCATTCCCTGGGAGACGGACACGCCGCAATCCCTTCTCCTCTAGGGATCCTGGGCATGGCTGCACATACGCCTGGTGTCAGTTTAAGCCACCGGGTCTAGGACTTGAACCGTGGTTGACTACCTGGGAATCCAGCAACACAGCCATTACGCTAACTGCTGGTCCCCATTCATTTATTTTTAATTTGACCAGAGAGAGAGAAAGTGAGAAAGCAAGCCACCAGGTCCAGGAATCAAACTGTGGTTGGCCATGCAGGAGTGTCCAGTGCCTTAACTACCACGCCACCTGCTGGTCCCTGTCAATTTATTTATTTTAATTTGACCAGAGACAGAGAGAGAGAGAAAGAGAGAAAGGGGGAAAGCAAGCCACCAGGTCCGGGACTGGAACCGTCGTCAGCCATCCATGTGGGAGTGTCCAGTGTCTTAACCATCACATCACCTGCTGGTCCCCCCATGAAATACATTTTTATGTATCATTTTGGGTAATTCTCATTCTTTTGATCCTCTTCCTACATTCCCATTTCATTAAAAAGAAAACTCCCTAGGCTTAGAATTTACCTTGCCTCAAAAAAAGGGGGTGGGGGGAGGCAGAGAAATATCAGGAAATAAAAAACAGAAATGGCCTTTGAGGAAGTGTCCATCGACTGTCCCATACACTTTAATTACAACCAGAGGAAAAAAGAAAGGACAGTAGGACAAATCTGTTTCTGTTTTAAATGACGGCCTGTGTCACTCTTACTATCTATATGAATAAATTGCATTACCAACCTGTTGACAGTGTCTAGATGCTCATAATTCTTAAAGTTCTCCCCTCCCCAAGCAGCCAGCTGGAGTCAAATGCTGTCAAATGCTGCCACAAAAACTACACAAAATTAGGAATTTTTACATCCAGGCTGACACAAGGATGTCTAGTTATGAGATAAGAAATTTGAAGTTCCACCTCTACAAATACATTTCCCTCCCAGAGAAAAACACTATACTGACATTTCATATCTTCAGAACGTCATTACTCTGTCCAAGCACTTTCTATCACTGCTATCCTAAGCACAGAAAGAAACCCAAAGCTCTGGAACAGTCCCAGAAGGAGGGATCTTCTGCTAATTCTGCCTTGCATACAGTGCAGTAAAAACAACTGGTTGGCTCATGCTGAGCACTCCTGGGGTGAGGGCACAGGCTGAAATAGGGCCGGCACTTTGTTTGGTATCTGGGAGTTACTTGATAGACTCAGAAAGTGAAGATTGGTTGACCTCAAGGGTTCGAAATTCCAGGTTTGATTTGTGGTCATCTCCCAAAGCCGTTTTCCTTAGAAAATCACCTGTATGGGGGCCAGCAAGCAGCATGGTGGTTAAGGCACTGGACATATGGCCAACCACAGTTTGAGTTCCGGACCTGGTGGCTATGGAGACATTATGAAATGCCTACTGGTGCACATGTGAAAAGGGAAGAAAAGCAGACAGGCACACAAACACATAGCTAGCGACCAGAGGAGCAGCCAGCTCAGGCCTGTTAGGAAAGTGTGAACTCTTGCATGGACTTCTGTCTAAGAGGGGGACATGGTTTTGGCTATATCATCATCACCTTTTTTTTTTTTTTGGAAGGGGTTTTTGCTATTAGGGTGTGTGCGCTCACCAGAAAGACAGAGAGATAAAAAGCAAGAAATCACCCCCCAGGGGGGATGGCCACGCCCCAATCCCTTCTCCATTCTCCTCTGGGGATCTTGGGCACACATGCACACACCCGGGCGTGAGTTTAAGCCACCAGGTCTGGGCTCGAACCGCGGTTCACTACATGGGCTACTTCATCTTCTACAATGTTATTTGGGAAGAGTCACAGAGTCTTTCTGGCCTCCTTTGCAAAATTGTTAGAATAATTTTTCTCCTCTGGGAAGTCTATTATAATCTTCCAAGAAAGTATATATTGTCGTTAGCAGCTTAGATTTGGAGCTAGACTATCTGGGTCTGGCTTTTAGGTGTATCACTCAGTAGTTATGTAATCGTAGGCAATTTAATCTCTCTAAGCCTCAATTTTCTCATCTGTAAAACAGGCATAATTATAGTACATACCTCACAAGGTTGTAGTAAAATTGTTAATTAGTTAGAATATGGTCAAGTAGATAGTGTGAACATAATATGCATGTTATTTATTTATTATTATTATTATTTATTTTTAAAAAGAATTATTTTATTTAACTTTATGATTTTTCTTTTTAAAAAATAATTACTGTTTTTAACTTTTTATTTATTTATTTATTTTAATTTTACTAGGGAGGTGTGTATGTGTGTGTGTGGGAGGGAGAAAGTGAGAAAGCAAGCCGCCAGGTTCAGGACTTGAACTACAGTGAGCCACATGGGAGTCCAGAGCCCTTAATCATCATGCCACCTGCCGGACCTAATTATTGTTGATTATTAATCATTTCCTCTCTTATGCTTCCACAGATAGTACTGTGTACATCTTGCTCACAACTCTTACCACACTGCTTTAGAAAAAGATACTGCAGGGGCTAGTAGGTAGTGTGGTGGTTAAGGCACTGGACTCCTACATGGCTGACCGTGGTTTGCGCCCTGGGCCTGGCGGCTTGCTTCTCACTTTCTCTCTGTCTTTCTCTCATTAAATCAAAAAATAATAATAAATAATAAAATAATTCTTTTTAAAAAATAATGTTTTAACTTTATGTATATATTATTTATTTATCTTAATTTGACCAGAGAGGGAGAGAGTGAGAGTGAGAGAGAGAGAGAAAGTGAGAAAGCAAGCTGCTGGATCTGAACTTGAACCGCTGTCAGTCATATGGGAGTCCAATGCCCTTAACCACTACGCCATCTGCCAGCCCCAATAACATAATTCTTTTTCTAAAAAGAAAAAGAAAAAGAAAATAATATCACCGTAAAGTTAAAAGAGTGAAGGTTATCACTTTTTTGACTGATTAAGGGTGATAAGCACACTTGTAAAAATCCCCATCTCTAGGGCCAGCAGTTGGTGTGGTGGTTAAGGTGCTAGATTCCCACATGGCCAAACATGTTTGATTCCTGGACCTGGCGGCTTAAAAAATCACATCAGGCATGTGTGCATGCATGTCCAAAATCTCGAGAGGAAAGTGGAAGAGAAGAGATGGCAGCAGCATGGTTATATCCTTTAGGGGGGTGATTTCTCACCTTCTCTCTCTCTCTGTCTCTCTCCAGTGAATGCATGTACCCTATGGCAAAAACGACAACAACAACAAAACCCAGCTCTGCTATTTATCTGCTGAGATTTGAACCCTAGTGTGGAATCCAAATAACAAAGCACCTCTAAACCTCTAAGTTCCTTCATTCATAAAATAGAAACAACACTTACTTTACCTTTTTGGGCTGGGAGAACTAAAGAAGTACCTGTGCATAAGTGTTTAGCTAGTGCTCTAGTGGAGATTACATAATGTGCCTTACAAGATGAAGAAACAGGGCCGGAATGCAGAGTGCTGGGCTGGGAAAGACAGCTTTACCTTTCTGTTCGGGGATTCTCTTGCTCGCTTTGGACCTTGGTGGTTTCTTCCATTGATGATATCTCCTCTGACTTCAAAAGCGTGCTGAAAGAAATCAAATCCAAACCATTGGGAACAGATAAAAAGAAGCCTCCTTCAATGCAAGTAAAGCAGACACATCCTATTTTAAGTTTTCAGAATTACCAGGTAGCATTTGTGCTACAAATAAATAAATAAAACTATTCTTTTTGGTGGATTAAATGAAAAGACCTGGATTTCAGCTGCTGAAATCAATTCACTGATGCAAATCTTCATGTGCAGAAATTAACAACTGGCTTTTCACCTCACTGAGACTAAATGTATTTTAATTTTCAACATCTATCTCCTCTCAAAATATTCATTTAGCATTTGGATTAAACCACTGATACTGTGCTGTTATATAGATAACTGGAGAATCCCCACTCTCTTAAATCAATTATACATTACTATCTAAAGAAGTAGGGTCTTTTTAGATTTCCATAGAGAGATTTACAGTTAATGAAGCTAAAATGATAAACTATAGTGTAAGAGGTTTTTCATATTACTTTGACTGGTTAAGGACAACAGAATACATAATAATTGGATTGGAGGGGTTAGTTTTTTGGGAGCAATTTGGGGAAGAATGTTTAGAAAAAATCCTGACTGAAACTCAGATTGTAGGGAATAACACACTATTGCCTGAGTATCATGAAGAATAATGGCACAACTGTAACCGTAAGCTATTACTAGGGGAAAAACACTTAACATTTCCTAGTCACTTGAATAAGAAGTGTAATGATAAATTTGTCATTTATTTAATGATGATTTCCAGATTTATAGACCTGACTGAACCCAAGCTTCATATGATGTGTACAACTACCTACTTAACCTCTCTCTCTAGATGTCTAATATAAATCTCAAAATTCATCGTCTTAAATAGAAGTCCTGATTTGATTTCTGCCTTTTATTTCCCTGACTCTGTCCATCACCAACATGCTCCTCCCTTGTGTATATCTAATCTAGTATTACTGCCCAGCCATCGTGGCATATGGAGTAGTATACTGGACTGCAGCATTGAAAGCCACTGGCTTCAACATGGCTGACCACACGGTTGGGATCCCAGGTCAACCTGAAAACTATGCTGGGTGCACAAATGCCCAAGATCCTGATGAGCTAGAGGGCTGGGTAATGGGATCGTGGTGTGACGAGACCTTATTGAGGGTTCCTGTCTTTATCTCTCTCTTACATAACAATGTAGATATGTTGTTTCTCACGAGTAAGATAAATTAAACTCAAAAAAATTACATTACTAACATCTATCCTGCTGTTCAGGCCCCAAACCCAAGATTCTTTTACCTTATATAAGTTTAACCCATTAGCAAATCTTATCTCCAAACATCCTAAAGTAACCTCTCTTCTGTCTCCATGCTTTCAAACTTCCCTAAGAACAAAGCCTGAATTACTTGTAATGGCACATACCAATCCTACCTGACCTGAGCCATGTCTAGGACCTTCTCCAATTCCTTGGTCTAACTTCTGCCATCTAAATTCGATTCACCAATCACTACTGTCTACACTGGCTTATTTTCTGTTAATAAATCAAGTTAATCGATCAATTAATTAATTAAATCTTTTTTTTTTTAAAGGATTATTTATCGGGCTGGCAGGTGGTGTGGTGGTTAAGGGCACCGGACTCCCACATGGCTGACCACAGTTCGAGTCCTGGACCTGGTGGCTTGCTTTCTCACTTTCCCTCTCTCTGTCTCTCTCTGTCCTTCTCTCATTGTCCCTCTCTGGTCAAATGAAAATAAACAAGTAAATAAAGTTAAATAAAATAATTCTTTAAAAAAAATTAAAATTTGTTATTATCATCACCATCATCATCATTATTAGAGGGATTTTTGTTACAGGGCATGTGTACTTGTCAGAGAGACAGAAAGTGAGAAATCACTTCTCCCCCTCGCCCCCTGGGAAGGTGGCCACACTATAATGCCATCTCTTCCATTCTCCTCTTGGGATTTTGGGCACACACGCATATGCTTCTGGTGTGAGTTTCAAGCTTCTGGGTCTAGGACTCAAACCACAGTCAGTCATGTGGGAGTCCAGTGACATAACCATTATACCATCTGCTCGTCCCTATTATTATTATTTTTTAAAAGTTGACCAGAGAGACAGAAAAAGAGGAAAAGTGAGAGAGCAAGCTGCCAGGTCTGGGACCCAAACTGTGGTTGACCATGTAGGAGTCCAGCACCTCAACTACCATGCCACCTGCCAGCCCATGAGTGTTTTTCTTTCTTTCTTTCTTTCTTTCTTTCTTTCTTTTTTTTTTTTTTTTTAAGATTTTTGCCATAGGGCATGTGCATTTAAATTTTATTCATTCATTCATTCATTTTTTAAAAAGTTTGACCAGAGAGAGAGAGAGAAAATGAGAAAGCAAGCCACCAGGTCTGGGACTTGAACTGTGGTCGGCCAAGTTGGAGTGTCCAGAACCTTAACCACCACGCCACCTATTGGTTCCCCCATATGTTTTTCTATACAAAATCGTGTCATGACTTTTGCAACAACCCAATAATAGTTAAAAAAAGCTTTCACTAATTTTATTTAGCCTGATCTGTCGTCACCAACAGCTCTTAGATGGCTGTTCTAAAATTATCCTTCCTCCTACACTGTATCTTATTTACCTCGCACTGTTCTCAGTATCATAAAGAATACCATCTTGATCCTTTCGTGGTTTATTAGTGTGATGATTGGGTGTTCATGCTGTTGTGTGAGATGTGCCTCCCTTGAGCCTTGTTACAAACTCTTCACATGACCTGATGTAGGAAAAAAAGAATGTCCCTTCAAAAGAATATGATTTCTAAATAAATACATTTGCATATTATTATGGTGAACAGCCAATTTTCTACAAAGGTGTGCACATGTAGGATCCAGGTGGACTTGTTTCTTGCCCTTTGAATCTATTCTTTCTTTCTTCTTCTTTTTTTTTTTTTAAATGATTTCATTTAACTTTATTTATTTATTTATTTTTTTGACCAGAGAGGGACAGAGTAAGTGTGTGTGTGTGTGTGTGTGAGAGAGAGACAGAGAAAGTGAGAGAGTGAGAGAGAAAAAGAAAGTGAGAAAGTAAGCCACCAGGTCTGGGACTTCAACTGTGATGGGGGTCCAGCGCCCTTAACCACTATGTCACTTGCTGGCCCCAAATTTATTTTTTGCTTTATAAATTCCTTTTCCTGTCTTCAAGGGAAAATTTCTTTTCTTTCTTTTAAAGAGATTTTTGCTATAGGGCGTGTGCATTTGCCAGAGAGACTGAAAGGGAGAATGGAGATCAACATGAGTTATGCAGAAGGCCCACCCAGTAGTCACCCTCGGGACTCAACTGGTGGTTAAGGAAGTGTCCACCTCCTTAACCATCACCACATGCGCCCTCAGTCCCCTCACCCCCCATGAGTTTTAAGCTGCTGGGTCTGAGACTTGAACCGTGGTTGACTATGAGGGAGTCCAGAGAGGTAACCATTACGCCATCTGCTGGTCGCCTCAAGAAAAAGTTTCTTTTGAATTTTAGACAAACAAGTGAGTACACAGAACTTCCCGGTTTGCTCTATGTAACTTTTTTCTTTTTTTGCTCACAAGAGAAAAAACAGAAAGTGATAAATCACCCCTGAGAGATGGCCATGCCACAATCCATTCTCTTCTTGGGATTTTGGGCGTGCATGTACATGCACCTGGCCACTGGATGGGCCTTCTACATAACTCATGTTGATACCCATTCACCAAAGGAAATTTGCGGAACGTGCTACATTGACAGAAGGGAAGTAATTTGTTCATGACTACCTGACTAGTGGCACGAACTCTCTCTAAGTTTGTAACATCAAGTACTTACCTCATCCAGCATCTTTTTTTCTTTAATAGACTGGGTCACCCCTAAAGAGATCACAGAAAAAACAGGTAACATAGAGCAAAAGAAAATGCTTTCTTCATGGAGGTGGAGAGTTCAGTGACTCACAAAAGAGCACAGGAAAAAGGACAGAAGAGGGATTCATTCTCTATAAAACCAGGGCTCTTTAATAAGGCATGGGGCAGAGATTTCCTTCCAAAGACATAGTTGATGCTTAATATAAACATTATTTAAAAAGTGCCTGCTGCACATGGGTTCTGTCCATTATTAAATAAATCCCTAGTTCATGTGTCAACATTGCTAGATTAGGTCCTATTAGTTATAAAAGAAATCTATTTTCTCAGCATCACCAACTTATCTGAACAAAGCGATATGCATTAAAGATAAAGCTAGTTTTGTGATACTATTAAAGACCTTTTGGTAATTCAGATTCAGCAATAGCAAAAACCTTAGCTGTGAAAATGTTAGGTGTAAAAATGCAATTCTAAAGTGTTAAGTGGAGGACAGGAGAAATTGTATTGTACTTACAGAAATAGCTAACTACCCATTTTCCTCCTGCAATTCCCAGAAAATATTTCAGTGTCCGTTCACACACAAACTCAGCATCTGCAGGATGAAAAACATTCAAAAGATTATAAATTGAAAACAAAATCAGGATGTGCTACCTTCAGGACCTAAAGAGCCCCAACCCCTTATGTTCTCAAGATCAACATGGATTGATGATTCTGTCACTCTTGGTGATAGAATGAGAAACTAGAAACACTACTAATTACAACCAGCAGATGTGGATCTTTGGAAGCCTGGAAGAGGCTGATATAAAGTTAAGACCAGAGGAGGACCAGCAGTTGGCATAATGGCTGTATCACTGGACTCCCATGTCGTTGATCGCGGTTTGAGTCCTGGAACAGTGGCTTAAACTCACGCTGGGCACGTGTATGTACGTGCCCAAGGTTCTGAGAGGAGAATGAAGGAGAAGGGATTGCGGTGTGGCTAACCCCCCTGAGGGGGGGTGATTTCTCGCTTTCTGTCTCTCTCTGTCTTCCTGGCGAGTGCATGTGCCCTATAGCAAAAACCTCTCCAAAAAAACAAACAAACAAAAAAGTTAAGATCAGAGGAAATATCTATGTCATCTTCTATTAAGTCGTCGGGGAAGTCATGGCGTATTTTTCTGATTTTCTATGTAAAAATGTGTCATGACTTTCCCAATAACCCAAAAGATGCCAAAGCCAGCTAAATATCTTCACTATTTTGTTCAAGAAATTATGCAAGTAGGTAGTATTGATTGATGTGGACATAGAAGAGCTATTTTACTGGATGGTAATATATGAAAAACGAAAACAGTATTGTTGAAATCCTAAATCTCAAGTGTCAATATAAGTGGCAATTTTTGACCCCTAGAACTTCTCCCTGGGGAATCCTAACCCCCTAATATTTCAGAAAGCAACAGGAAAACAGTTATTCTCATGGTTTTTCTCTTGTCTACGTAGATATTTCAAAAAGCTATAGCTGAAGAACAACTTCTGTTTATTTCCCAGTGTTTCAAAGACCCTTTTGAAGGGACCAGCAGTTAGCATATAGGTTATGTCGCTGGACCCCCACGGAGTTGACCACAGTTCGAGTCCTGGACCCGGTGGCTTAAAACTCATGCCAGGCACATGTGCATGCCTGCCCAAGATCCCGAGAGGAGAAGGGAGAAGGGATTGCGGTGTGGCTATCCCTTCTGGGGGGCGATTTCTTGCTCTCTGTCTCTCTCTGGCTTTCATGTGCCCTGTAGCAAAAAACTCTCCAAAAAAAAAAAAGAAAAAGACCCTTTTGAAGAACTAAGCAAACTAAAGAAAGACCACTTGGATCTAAACAAAAGATATATTTAAATAAATCTTAAACACAGCATGCCACACACAAGTAGTAGCAGCAGCCATTCTCTCTCACAGAATTACTCACAATGTTTGAAGGTATTTGCTGAACTGCTACAAAAGCTGATTTAATAACAATATGCTTTTTTAAAAAATAATAATAATATGCTTTTAACTAAGAAATTTTAGTTAATTTTTAGTTCAAAAGGAGCCAATATTGTATTGCCTTTGAGCTTAAAGATTGAACTACTGGGACCAGCAGTTAGCATAATGGCTATGTCGCTGGACTCCCGCATAGTCGACCGCAGTTTGCGTCCTGGACCCGGTGGCTTAAAACTCACGCCGGGCGCATGTGCGTGTGTGCCCAAGATCCCGAGAGGAGAATGGAAGAGAAGGGATTGCGGCGTGGCCATTCCCCCGGGAGGTGATTTTTCGCTTTCTATCTCTCTGTCTCTCTCTGTCTGTCTGGTGAGCACATGCACCCTATAGCAAAAACCTCTCTCTTAAAAAAAAAAAAAAAAAAAAAAAAGATTGAATTACTTTAGATTTAATTTGCATTTTAAGTTTTCTTTCTTTGGCTTTGATCTAAACCTGTAGCTTAAGACATATTAAACTTTAATGACATTCATCTCTAAAACAGTAATTAGTTTGTGGTACTGTGTTCTGGCACCTGATTCCAGTAAGCACTATCCTCTGTGGTACAATTTTTACACAGAAACCTAAGATCTTACAGGTTCTAGGGTAATGTAATGTGTCCAAGGAGTTTGGACCCTCTGCTCATGCACCTGCAGCTCTATGAACAGAAACATCTTGGCATATACTACAATATAGCCAGAGAACTAATTTTGTTAAAAAGGTTTTAAGGTTGAGCCACAATCTGCCTCCTCTGCCTCCTGCATGCCCTGGTTTCTGTCTGCTTTATGGGGCCCCATGATGAGTCTAACTCCTCTTCCAAATCAGTTCTTCACATATTTGAAGATAATTGTCTTGTTCTCTTAAAGCTTTTCATTCTTTCATTTTAAACGACATTATTTTTCATTCCTTTAACAGGTCCTCATCATCTACCTCTGGAGAAACATTCTTCAATGTCAGTGACCATCTTAAATAGGACACAAGGTACACAGAACAGAGATCATCTTTCAGGCAATCACTCCAGTAAAGAATACAGCAGGGGTTCAAATATTTATTTCACTTGTTCCAGTCTTTAGGTTTATACTAATAGCCAAATGAAAACTCTCAAAGATCTCCTTTTTAAAAAGGAAGGTTTAGGACAAAAGAATTGTCCTTTGTTTTCTTTCTTTTTCATATTTTAGGGCTATCTCAGAGCCGTTACTGGACTTGTTTCTTGGAAAATTCTCAACCACACTCAAAGTAGGGGCTAGGGCCTCCAGATCTTGAGTGAGAATTTTTAAATTTAATTTTATTTGTTATCATTATTTTTAAAAATTTGACCAGAGACAGCAAAGAGAGAAAAATAAAGAGGGAAAGCAAGCCCCCAGGTTTGGGACTTGAACCACGGTTGGCCATGTGGTAAGTCCAGTGCCTTAACCACCATGCCACCTGTGGTCCTAAAAGGGAAGATTCTTTCCTATTCCATTCCCCCCCTGCCTTTTTTTTTTTTTAATTATTATTATAATAGACATTTATTTAAAGTAATACACCTCCAAGCCAAATACCTTCTAAATTATGTTTTGGGTTTTACTAACTTCATAGCCCAGTCTTCTCTCTCTTTTCCTTCCTGAATAACCTCTTTCAGATATGGTTCCAAGTAGAATTTATCCTCCTCACTTTTGTCCTCTACTCTTTAGGCAAGATCTGCTGCCTCAAGGTCAGGTCCAGTGTTCCCTTAGGGTGAAACATCCTGCCTTATAAAGGTTCTCAGGGAGTCTTCTTATGGCTTCTTTCACCTCTTCATTCTCATGTTGTATTATCACACATCGACCTCAGAGTTTATTGAATCCTGCAGCACTCTAATACCATTTCAAATGCCATCCAGCAACCGACCTGATGCTGCAATGGCTGGCCTGCATGCCATTTTGACCTGAGAACAAACCATTCCCCTCTTTGCACCACTTATTCTTCTAGGACTTGGGCTCTGCCTTACCATTATAGTCCAGACAGAAAGAGGTGATTCATCGTTCTGGCTCACTACCCTCCAAATCTTAACCCCAAATTAAAGAGAGACCAGGAAGTAGCAAAACAATTGCCTATCTTTCATAAAGTAGTAATTGACTGACTATTGGAAGACTATCATACATGCTACACTTAATGAATATTCCTATTTCTGTGGTTTTAAGCAGCAAATATAACATATTCTGTAAGGATTCTTGCCTTACCCGTTTTCATAATGACATGAGTAGTTTCTTTAGTAACTGCATTAGTAAAAGCAATGTGGTTTTTTCTGGCAAACTTCTGCACAAGCATCTGAAATCACAAGAAACACCGTATTATAATAAATTGCCTTGAGTACACAGTCTACAGTATTAGTTATCCTAGCTAAGGCTCCATTTTTCTCAGAAAAGGGAATTCTTTTTTTTTGGAGAGGTTTTTGCTAAAGGGCGTGTGTGCCTCACCAGAAAGACAGAGAGAGACAGACAGAAAGCGAGAAATTACCCCCCGGGGGATGGCCACGCCGCAATCCCTTCTCCTCCTTTCTCCTCTCGGGGTCTTGGACACGCACGCACACGCACCCGGCGTGAGTTTAAGCCACTGAGTCTGAGACTCGAACCACGGTCGACTACATGGGAGTCCAACGACATAGCCATTACGCTAACTGCTGGTCCCAGAAATTCGTTTTTTTTTTGAGAGGTTTTTGCTGTAGGCAGCGTGCGCTTGTTGGAGAGCGAGACAGACAGTGAGGGGGAAAGCGAGAAATTACCCCCCGGGGGATGGCCACGCCGCAATCCCTTCTCCTCCTTTCTCCTCTCGGGGTCTTGGACACGCACGCACACGCACCCGGCGTGAGTTTAAGCCACTGAGTCTGAGACTCGAACCACGGTCGACTACATGGGAGTCCAACGACATAGCCATTACGCTAACTGCTGGTCCCAGAAATTCGTTTTTTTTTTGAGAGGTTTTTGCTGTAGGCAGCGTGCGCTTGTTGGAGAGCGAGACAGACAGTGAGGGGGAAAGCGAGAAATTACCCCCCGGGGGATGGCCACGCCGCAATCCCTTCTCCTCCTTTCTCCTCTCGGGGTCTTGGACACGCACGCACACGCACCCGGCGTGAGTTTAAGCCACTGAGTCTGAGACTCGAACCACGGTCGACTACATGGGAGTCCAACGACATAGCCATTACGCTAACTGCTGGTCCCAGAAATTCGTTTTTTTTTTGAGAGGTTTTTGCTGTAGGCAGCGTGCGCTTGTTGGAGAGCGAGACAGACAGTGAGGGGGAAAGCGAGAAATTACCCCCCGGGGGATGGCCACGCCGCAATCCCTTCTCCTCCTTTCTCCTCTCGGGGTCTTGGACACGCACGCACACGCACCCGGCGTGAGTTTAAGCCACTGAGTCTGAGACTCGAACCACGGTCGACTACATGGGAGTCCAACGACATAGCCATTACGCTAACTGCTGGTCCCAGAAATTCGTTTTTTTTTTGAGAGGTTTTTGCTGTAGGCAGCGTGCGCTTGTTGGAGAGCGAGACAGACAGTGAGGGGGAAAGCGAGAAATTACCCCCTCAAGAGGATGGTCACGCTGCAATCCCTTCTCCTCCATTCTCCTGGGATCTTGGGCATGCATGCACAAGTGCCCAGTGTGATTTTCAAGCCACTGGGTCCACAACATGAACTACAGTCAGTCATGTGGGAGTCCACTGATGTAATAACCTCGACACCATCTGGTGGTCCCAAGGTACCTTTTTTTTATTCATGTCTGAAGTCTTAAAATAAATAATTTAGTAAAAATTACGTACAAATCAGAGGAAGAAATTCTAAAATAGTCCATGCTAGCAGACGTGAAAGTACAACCAAAGATTCAAAATAATATTAATTTTGCCTTTAATAGCAGACATCATTTTGCTTCCCTATGACAGTTTCTTTGTATGCAATACTATAATTTAGATTTATTAGCTTACACTTTATAAAGCTAAGAGGTAACTAACCTGCACATTAAGTTTTGTTGCAGGTATATGTGGTTTAAAACCAAAATTCAACCTGCTGATAGTTAACAAAACACTCAAGTCAAACTGCTGCTAAAGGTCAGTGCAAAAACTATCAATTGTCTCTTAAGGAGAAAGATTAGAAGAGACTCATATTTGTCACAGAAGAAACCTAGAGTCTTCTAGCTATTATCTATCAGCCAAATAAAAATCGATAGGCAGTAAAAGAAATGAACTAGATCCACTATGGGCACAGCTGACATAATCAGTAGCTACTGTTTGGTAAATAACTTGGTTTATCAAGGGCCATCATTTACTAGCCATCACCACCCTCGCCAATATTTATGTGCTGCACAATACTGCAATGGAGGTCAGGCCATCTTTCTTTCATGCCGCCTCACTGCATACTGCCATAGGGCACTGAAAAAAGGCAGGCCAGGGAAGCTAATGACATCCTCCCCCTTTTGCCACTGCCCTCTGCCAGGATCATTAGCAATTCGGAACTGATTAATTGCTGAAATCCCAGCCTTGAAACACTGTTCAGTTAGAAGAGCAACTGCTGAAAAGATCATCTTAATATGGGCTTCAGAATTAATCATGTGTAATGCAGTCAGGAGCTTTCATCATAAATTTACCACACTTCAGCAAGTCTGAATAGAGCTCAAAGTTTTCCTCTTTGCTTGTTTAAAGACAACATGTACCCAAGTCACTTGTTGTCTAATCTGTAGCTCAGAATTGCCCATGGCAAGAAAGATTAGATCATTATAGCAATCTCAGAAAAATTGAATTTATAAAACTAAGGAATAAAGAATGCTAATTTTCAATGAATAAATAGTAATTCTAGGCGTGTGGGCAAGTAATCAAGAGCCGTTTAAACAGACACAGGTAAGACTTTTCAGAGCAAGTTGCTGGGATGGACAAGGGGCTATGAGATGAAAATGGGAAGAGCCACCACCTTGCACTTCTTCACTGCATCTAGCAGGGCACGCAGCCCAATTTGTCCTTTAGTAGTGGAACACATCTGGTCAGAGAATGCTATGCTGAGTCACTACCTATGGAGAAGTTAGGATGAGAAATGTTACTTATCTTTATTTCTTTTTGGAGAGGTTTTCGCTACAGGGCGCGTGCGCTCATCAGACAGAGAGAGACAGAGAGACAGAAAGCGAGAAATCACCCCCCAGGGGGGATGGTCACACCGCAATCCCTTCTCCTCCATTCTCCTCTCGGGATCTTGGGCACGCACGCACACGCGCCCGGCATGAATTTTAAGCCACCGGGTCCGGGACACAAACCACGGTCGACTACGTGGGAGTCCAGCGACATAGCCATTACGCTAACTGCTGGTTCCCAAGAAATGTTCCTTATCTTAGGGAGTATTTATTAAAAAAGATACTTCAGAATGACTTGGCTCTCCTTCAGTGTGGAATAAATGGCACCCGATATTGAATCCATTTGATGATCTGGTGTGTTATTTTATCTTTTTTATTTTTTTTGGAGAAGTTTTTGCTATAGGGCGCGTGCGCTTGCCAGACAGACAGAGAGAGACAGAGAGACAGAAAGCGAGAAATCACCCCCCAGGGAGGGATGGCCACGCCGCAATCCCTTCTCCTCCATTCTCCTCTCGGGATCTTGGGCACGCATGCACACGCGCCTGGCGTGAGTTTTTTAAGCCACCGGGTCCAGGATGCGAACTGCGGTCGACTACATGGGAGTCCAGCGACCGTAGCCATTATGCTAATTGCTGGTCCCTATTTTATCATTATTTTAAAGAATATTCACTCAATTATTTTATTATGAAGTGATACCAATGACAGTTACAGGGGAGGTAAACTTCCCAGGATCTCTGAAATATAAGTAGTCTGAGTAAAAACAAAATTTCAGTGGTTTTAGTAATTTAAAGGGTATTTTTCCAAAATGTGTAACAATCCTCCCTTTTTTTCTCTTACTTCGGTTTTTGCCATAGGGAATGTGTGCTTGCCAGAGAGAGACAGAGACAGAGAGAGAAAGTGAGAAATCAGCCACTGGGGGGAAGGCTATGCCCACAGTGCCTTCTTTTTCCTCTTGGGTTTATGTTGCGTCTGGCATAATTAAAAAAAAAAAGAATTATAAATGAATGAATTATTTATTTAGTTCCATTTGCTATTATTTTTTAATTTGGCCAGAGAGAAAGGGAAAGTGAGAAAGTAAGCCACCAGGTTCGGGACTCGAACCATGGTCGGCCATGTAGGAATCCAGTGTCTTTAACTACCACGCCACCTGCTGGCCCTATGTCTGGCATAATTTTCAAACCATGGAACCTGGGACTTGAACTGCAGTTAGCCACATGGAAATCTAACCTTAACTACCATACTACCTGCTGGACCCAACAATTACAATTTCTGACATGAGGGGCTCAAGGAGTTGCCCAAATCCTAATGGCAAGGAGTGTTGTAGGGTAGAAATGACAGAGCAGGCTATTAAAATCAGGATAAAGACAAACACCAAAAATAAGTCACTACCCAGCACTATGTCTAAAATCAGTCTAAATTTAGCTCAGCATGCTAAGATATAAACCAAGACCCCAAACGTTAACCAAATGGGGGGGAAAATGCCTCTTGGAGAGTAGAGATATGCCCACTTTTTTTTTTTTTTTTAGATAAAAAGAAAAAAATTTTTTTTTCTTCTTTTTGGAGAGATTTTTGCTATAGGGCGCGTGCGCTCGCCAGACAGAGAGAGACATAGATAAAAAGAAAATTCAAATTAAAAAGCTCTATATTATATATACATATATAAAGTACTACTTTTTCTGCTAATATTTAATTATTTTCCTAAGTAAATATATGAGGGTACTTAAAAACAAATCCATGCATAATGTTCATAATAGGCATTTCCTATGAACTTTTTCTTTTCAATTTTATTATTACTACCTTTTAACCTGACCAGAGAGACAGAGAGAGAGGGAAAGTGAGAAAGCAAGATGCCAGGTCTGGGACTCAAGCTACAGTCAGCCATGTGGGAGTCTAGCACCTTAACTACCATGCCACCTGCCAGCCCCCTTCCTTTTCTTTTAATTATATAAATTATACATGCACACATGAGAGAGAGAGAGAGAAAGAAAAAGTAGCCTTCATAGGGTCTCCCCATATAATTCCCTCTCGCCAGCTTCTAGCTCCTCTGGATCCTGGGTATATGGACTTGACTGATGTGTTCATGTGTATGTTTTCTTTTTTTCCACTAATGATAGAATGCATGTGTGCACACAATCAAGAGAAACAGAGATGTACAGAGAGGAAGAGAGATAAGCACCCTCAACAGGATTTGGTCATGTCACAATCCCCTTCCTCTAGTCCTCTAGCCCGCCAGAATCATGGATATGTATACCTATGCCCAGAGTGTTTTCAGGCCAACTGGGCTGGGAACGCCGACACTGGCCGGCCTGTGGCTTACTTACTGTGCCAGAGGCTGGGCTTCAGTGTGTTTTTTGAGGCCAGCCTGGTATCTGAACCATGGTTGCTATGTGGCTTCAAGCACTGTAAGGTGCCAGTGGTACTGATATGCCACAGGAACCAGGCCTCTGTGAACCTTTTTAAAGACCCTCCCCCCAACCCGCCCCCCCACACATACCTTGAATCTAGCTTTTTTAGATCTAAATTTTCAGAAATTAGTATTGGAAATTAAATAACAAATAATCATGCTTGTTTTCTAGATTTCTTCCTATAGATTATTCATCAATAGGGCCTACATAAAACTATTTGCAGTATGTCAGCCTTGTCTCAGTTATTAGGGAGATAGATATAGGACACTCACAGATTCTTTTGGGGTCAAGCCCGACACCACCATGGATATTCTTTTGCCGACTCTTTCTGCTGAAGATGTCAGTTCTGGATTCTCCCTGCTCTTGCTTTCTTCCCTCACAGCGTCTCCAGCAGTATTAGTAGTACGAGCAGCAGCTGGACTCTTGGCAGAATCTGCACCTTGAAGTTGGGATGATTTCAATGTAGAGATGGAAGCTGGCATGTTGTAAACATGAGCTGGCTCTGGGGCTCTCTTTTCAGGGGGATCAAATTCAGGGTCATCAGAGAAGAGACTGATTCCAGATTCCAGGTAAGGGCTTCCTTCTGAAAGGAAAAGAACTTTAATCTAAAAGAAAATGTATCTTGAATTTCAACCTTCCAGTCTGAAGAAATGAAAAGACCAATTAAGTTAGGTTAAGAGAAAAATGGGTACATTGATGCACTATGGGTAGAAGTGCCTTAACTTTTTGAAAAGATAATAAGGCATGACATAGCAAAAGCCTTAGCATTTATTCATCCTTTCGGTCAATTCCAGTTTTAGAAATGTACCCCAAGGAAAGACAGGCAAAGGCTTGGTCATTTGGTCATGGAGATGTTCTCTGAAGCCTTGCTTTTAATAGTGATTTTAGAAACAACCAAAATGTCCAACAGTAGATTTAATAAATCATGACACATCTATTCCAGTGGAGTACTCTTCACTCTTTAGTTTGAATATAAATGATATGACACAATGAAAATGTTTCTAATATATTAAAAAGAATAGCTAAGAAATATCTATTGCTAATTTTTAACAGAATTATTTATTTATTTAATTCCACCTGTTATTATTATTTTTTAACTTGTCGAGAGAGATAAAAAGGGAAAGTGAGAAAGCAAACTGCCAGGTTCGGGACTTGAACTGCAGTAGGCCATGTGGGAATCCATTGCCATTACCCACTACACCACCTGCCAGCCCTGAAAATTTATGTTTGACAAGCATTTTTAAACAAATTTTATCACCAGAGGGTGCATGTATGCAAGAGGGGATGGGGAGGAGAGGGAGAGAAAGACAGATAAAACACCTCATAATGGGATGGGGAAATGCTATAATCTTTTTATTTCATTTCTTCATCCTGTCAGAATTTTAGGCACAAAAGTGCCCAGTGTGTTTTTCAAGCTGCTGGAGTTGGATTCCAACCTGGTCAGCTATGTGGTATCTCTATGTACTGTGCTTAACTGCTGTATGACAGTTTTGGCTCAAGAAATGTTATTATGACCATAGTTATTTTATTTATTTAGTTTTGCTAGAGGGCATGTGCACTTGCCAGAGAGAGAGAAAGAATCAGGGAGAGGAGAAAGCATCCCCATGGTGAATGGTCATGCCACAATCCTTTCTCCTCCATCTCTCTTTCCAGGATTTTGGCACACATGCACACACACCTCAAGCTGCAATGTCTGGGACTTGAACTGTAGTCGGTCATGTGGGATCCAGTTGCCTTAATCACCAGACCATGGAACAGGCCCATTTTGATCACAAATATTTTACACTTCTTTTTTTCCTTCTATTTCATTTTATAATTTCTTATCTGCATTTAATTATTGTATATCTTTGTGGTGCACCAAATGGATTTTTAAAGCACGCATGTGATGTGCAACAATTAAGGATAATACCATATTCATAATTTTTCAATGAAGAACACTACATTTGAGATATATATATAAGCTTGGCAGGGTCCATTTTTTCACTATGACCATATTTTAAAAATAAAAATTAAGGGTTCATTGGTGGCATTGTGGTTAAGGAGGCTGGATCCCACATTGCCTGTAACACAGTTTAAGTACTAGAACCTGGCAGCTTAAAAAACCTTCCAGGTACTTGTGCATGTCCTCTCAGAATCCCAAAAAAGGGAAAAGCAGAAGAAAGGATTGTGGCATGACTATTCCCCATGGGGGGAGGGTGTTTTCTCACTTTCTCTCATCCCCTCTTTCTAGCAAGCACACATGCCTGCTAGTAAATTAAAAAAAAAAAAAAAAAAGTTAAAGTGAAATAATTAAACAAACAAAATAATATTTTATTGTAAACTGATAGGAAAACATGTACATATTCCTCTTTGTTTCCTATATTGTCCAGTTACTAGGTAATAAACATAGGTAGGGTGTTAAATTTAAAGGAGGTAGGTGGCATGGTGGTTAAAGGTGCTGGACTCCCACACGGCAGACCATGGTTCAAGTCGTGGATCTGGTGGCTTGCTTTCTCACTCTGCTCCCCCCCCAACTCTCTCTAATCAAACTGGAAAATAATAATAATAAATAAAGTTAAATAAAATAATTCTTTAAAAAAGTTAAAGTAAAATGTATATTCTAAAAAAACTATAAGTGGATTTTGATTTTTCCTGTGCTAAAAGATTTTCATTCCATTTTCGTACAAATTTAAAAGAATTTTTAAAAATATTCAATTTTTATTAAACTTTATTTATTTATTTACTTATTTTAATTTGGCCCGAGAATGACAGAGTGAGAGAGAGCAAGAGAGGGAAAGTGAGAAAGCAAGCTGCCAGGTCCAGGACTCAAACCGCAGTCAGTCATGTGGGAGTCCAGTGCCCCTAACCACCACGCCACCTGCTAGCCCCTCTACAAACTTTTGTTTTCTTTGGAGAGGTTTTTGCTATAGAGTGTGTGTGCTCGCCAGAAAGACAGAGAGACAGAAAGCGAGAAATCACCCCCCAGGGGGATGGTCATGCAGCAAAATCCCTTCTCCTCCATTCTCCTCTCGGGATCCTGGGCATGCATGTACATGCACCCGGCGTGAGTTCTAAGCCACCGGGTCCGGGACGTGAACAGCAGTTGACTACGTGGGAATCCAGCGACATAGCCACTACGCTAACTGCTGGTTCCCCACATGCTGTCTTTTAAAAAATAAATAAAACTGAATAAATAATTCTTTTTAAAAAAAGGAAAAAAGGTTTAAAAACGTGACAAATACTCTTTGTTTCTACATCCATTAAACTTTATTTATTTATTTATATCCATGATGACACCATTACTTTTTCACTTAATAAACCAACAGATATCATTATCAAATTAAAAACAGCAAAGATACCATCCCTGAAACATTTTAGAAACTAGTATTATTTTTTACAGAATTATTTATTTAACTTTATTTATTCATTCATTTATTTTATTTGACCAGAGAGAGAAAGAGAGAGAGGGAAAGTGAGAAAGCAAGCCATCAGGTCCAGGACTTGAACTATGGTCAGTCATGTGGGAGTGTTCAGCACCTTAACCACCAAGCCACCTGCTGGCTCTGAAACTATCATTATTAAGAATCATGCATAGCTAAGTAGAATGCATTAGATTCCTAAAACGACCCTAACGAACGGCCAAATACCACATCTGATGCCAAATAATGCCTTTTATGATAATGTGTTTTTGAATATTAATTAAAACCTTCCTTTATAAATTAAAACTTTGATTTACAAGCCATAAAACACAGCATTTATTAATGTGATTTACAAGGCATAAAATGGGTAGTCATTTATATTCATTAATTCTTAAAAGAAGAGCTTACTTTGGGATTTGACTGATTTTTCAACAAAGGGCAAGCCTAAAACTATTCTAGGGCTTTAAAACTCTTATTTAACAGTGAAGTCAAATATTTAGAGCACACCATGACTCTCTTGTACTCAAAATCATTAGACCAATAGACAGATTAACAGCTCCAATAATTTTCAAGTAAACTTAGATTAACCTTCAAGGTATTTTTTCTTTTCTTTAAGGAGAATTATTTAATTTTATTTATTATTATTCTTCTTTTAAGAGAGATTTTTGCTATAGGGTGTATATGTTCACAGGAGAAACAGAGTAAGAAAGTGAGAAATCACCCCCCTAGGAGGGATGGCCACATCACAATCATTTCTCCTCCATTCTCCTCTTGGAATTTTGGGCATGCATGCACATACTCCTGCCATGAGGTTTTTTTTTTTTTTTTTTTTGAGAGGTTTTTGCTATAGGGTGCGTGCACTCTCCAGAAAGACAGAGAAAGAGAGATAGAAAATGAGGAGTCATTCCCCCACCCTTAGGGGGATGGCCACGCCAGAATCCCTTTTCCTCCCGAGATCTTGGGCATGCATGCACATGTACCCGGAGTGCGTTTAAGCCACCGAGTTCGGGACTCAAACTGCGGTCGACTACATGGGAGTCCAGCGATGCAACCATACACCATCTGCTGGCCCCTATTTATTATTATTATTATTATTTTTCATTTGCTATATTACGTATACTCACCAGAAAGAGAGAGACAGACAGACAGAGAAAAAAGTGAGAAGGTAAGCTGCTAGGTCTGGGACTCAAACTGTGGTCATCCATGTAGGAGTCCTGCACTCTAACCATACCACCTGCTGGCCCCTCAAGTTATTTTTCTAAAATGGGCTTAAGTATAACTGAAGCATCCATGATACACTAGTACATCTGAAAGCTGACAAACCAGAATATCTTTATGTAGGATTCAGAGTAAAAGAAAGTATTTTTTTCCATTAAAGAAGATGAAATATTACCTAGATCTTGTCTTGGCAAGTAAGTCTTCTCCTTTAAATCATGTGGTCCAGACTTTTCCAGTTGTTGCTCCTCTACATCAACAACCTTAACGAGCCCCTCTTGAGACAAGCAGTTTCTAGACCTAGGAAGATGGATGGAAAGAGAAAACCATCACTACCATTTGTGGAAGGACTAATCATACTTTCTAGGCAGTCAAAGTGTAAATGAAAACAGTGTACTGTCAGAGACATCCACAATGACTAGTAGAAAGGAGCCCATGTGATAGCCCGGAAGTCTGGATTCATGTTGCCTGCCAACATGCCATGGCCGACTTACATCTCCCATTAGCGGCTGGTATAAGCTAGTATAGCTCCTAGCTGTCTGAAAGCATGTCAATAAATTTTACCAAATGTACCTACTGTTACTTACTAAAATTGTTATTTATTTATTGGGTAGTCAGAAGAGTCGTGATGAAAAAAAAAATTTTTTTAAATGTAAAAATAGGTCATGACTTTTCTGACAACCCAATATATATTTTTTGTTTTATCTTATTTTATATTTTGTTAGAGGGTGAGTGCACATGCCCAATGGAGAGAGGGGGAGAAAGCACTCTCCCAATGGGTTGTGGTCATACCATAATTTCTTCTCCACTTCTTCACCTTAGAGGAATTTTGGACATGTATGTACACATGCTTGATGTGTTTTTCAAGCTCCCAGAGCTGGGATTTGAACCATGTAGGATCTGGCTCCCTTTATCACCAAGTCACAAGCAAGTCATCAAATTCTATATACATTATTCCACTTGAGTTTAAATGATTATGTTATCAATGGAATCAGATTTTTTTTTTTCAAAAAAAAGAATGATTGGGAACCAGCAGTTAGCGTAATGGCTATGTCGCTGGACTCCCACGTAGTCGACCGCGGTTCGCGTCTCGGACCCGGTGGCTTAAATCTCATGCCGGGCGCGTGTGTGTGTGTGCCCAGGATCCCGAGAGGAGAATGGAGGAGAAGGGATTGCGGCGTGACCATCCCCCCTGGGGGGTGGTTTCTCGCTTTCTGGCTCTATGTCTCTCTGTCTGTCTGGCGAGCACATGCGCCCTATAGTGAAAACCTCTCAAAAAAAAAAAAAAAAATGAATGATTTATTTATCCATTCACTTATTTTTAATTTGACCAGAGAGAGACAGAGAGAGAGAGAGGGATTCAGAGAGAGAGAGGTTAAGAAAGCAAGTCACCAGGTCAGGGACTCAAACTGTAGTCAGCCATGTGAGAGTATCCAGCGCCTTAACCAACATGCTACCTGCTGGTCCCCAGAATCAGATCTTTTATGTAGACAGTTGATTGATGTTGATACCTCTATACTCATTCTTTCTATTCAATTCTGGCAGAATGTATTGTCATCTTGTCTCCTGCTTTTTCTTTCTTCTTTTTTTTAATTGCTAGAGGGTGTGTGTATTCATCTGAGATTGAGAGAGAAGGGGGGAAAGGGAGAAAGCATCCCCACAATGGAGTGTTCATTGGTCATACCTCAATTCCTTCTTCTCCATTCCTTCATCTTGTCAGGATTTTGGCCATACACATACATGTGCCTGGCATGTTTTTCAAGCTTCCAGGGCCAGGACTTGACCTGTGTAGTTGGCCATGTAAGATCTGGCTCCCTTACCTACCAGGCCATGGGGCCATCTTTTTCCCGTCTTTTCAATGTCCAAAGTCATTCTAAAAATAAAAGGTGGGACCAGCAGTTGGTGTAATGGCTATGTCGCTGGACTCCCATGTAGCAGACCGTGGTTCGAGTCTCAGACCTGGTGGCTTAAACTCACGCCGGGTGCATGTGCGTGCGTGCCAAAGATCCCAAGAGGAGAATGGAGAAGAAATTGCGGCATGGCCATATGCCTGGGGGTTGATTTCTCTCTGTCTCTCTGTCTTTCTGGCAAGCCCATGTGCCCTATAGCAAAAACCTCTCCATAAATAAATAAAATAAATAAAAACAAAAGGCAAATATAAAATATTGTTAGAAAAGTCATATGCACCCAGTGAGTAGCTCCTCTGCTCTTTTGAGTGTTTAGGACTGCAAGATAAGATATTTATCAATAGATTTAAAGGGTCTCAGAGATTAATTAATTAACTCAAACAATTATTGGGTGTTTATTATGAGTAAGGCACTAAAACTAGGCCCTGTGAATTGAAGATAAGCAAGATCTAAATTCCTGCTCTCAGGCAGTCTAGTGGAGGGAGGAATTCAATCAATGTGTAAGTTTTATGATGGAAGTCTCCGTAGGGTACCTGCAGGAGGAGCAGGAACCGAAATATTTAGTCTGAATACTAAATGAACAGTTAGCATACTAGGTTAAAACATGCCATGTCATTACCTATAAACATGGCTTTTTTTTTTTTTTGGAGAAGTTTTTGCTATAGGGCGCGTGCGCTCGCCAAACAGACAGAGACAGAGAGATGGAAAGCAAGAAATCACCACCCAGGGGAGCATGGCCACACCACAATCCCTTCTCCATTCTCCTCTCGGGATCTTGGACACGCATGCACACGTGCCTGGCATGAGTTTTAAGCCACTGGGTCCGGGACGCGAACCGCAGTTGACTACATGGGAGTCCAGCGACATAGCCATTATGCTAACTGCTGGTCCCAACATGGCTTTAATGGCTACAGAAGCTCATCTTTCGTTCTCTGTCACAGCCTCAGAAACACATCCTTGGTCAAATCCAAAGGGATAGGAAAAGGTGACTTGATTAGATTACTGACATCCTGTCACTATTCCCAGAAGGATAAGTAAAACACATGCCCGCAATAACAACTCAGTAAATGTGAACTCCTTTTTCTTCCTAGAGTCTCTTTTTCCTGAACTATCACATAGGACAGTTCTGGACTTGTCCTTTTACTTTCACAGACTTCTTAAAAAGATCAAATGAGGAAGTAGGTAAAGTATTTCTGAAAGTATAAACTGCTAGATAGTCTTAGATAAATAATGATTTGAATGCACATTCCTTAAAGATACTCCGATAACTTCTTTAGGTAAATCAACAACAAAAACTTTTTCTAGAAAGGCAAAAATTTTGGGGCCAGCAGGTGATATGGTGATTAAGGATGCTGGATTCCCATGTAGCCGGACCGCAGTTTGAGTCTCGGACCTGATGGCTTGCCTTCTTACTTTCACTCTCTCTCTGTCTGGTCAAATTAAAATAAGTAAGTAAATAAATAAATTTAAATAAAATAATTCTAAAAAAAAAAAAGAAAGGCAAAAATTTCAATTGGGTAAAGGTTGTCTTAAAGTTTACCATTAACCTTTAGGCTTATTAAGATTTTTATTCTATCTTATTTTGACCTTCAGAAGGAACAGATCTATCAAACTGCACATTTTTCTTTATCTTTCTTTTTTATTATTTAAGAACGATTTTTTAAAGATATTTTTAAATATATATATATATATATACACACACACACACACACACACACACACACACAAAAGAAGTGTCCCAGAGAAAACAATAGGGTAATATAAGTGTCTATGAACACAAAACTGGAGAGAGTAGACTGAAAGAAAACTAACTATGAGAGTTCAATACAATAAATCTGTTATTTAGATATGATAACTTGACATCTCTTACCTTTTCACTTCTGGCTCTTTATTTTTACTAGTGGAACTCTCTGGAGATCCTTGCAACTTGTTAGCAGAAAGGTTTTTTGGATTCAGGCTTACAGGATATTCATTACTTTTCTCTGAAGTTAATTCTGCTTTAAATGGAATGAGAAAACAAACAAATCTACTTTACTTTTCTGTCCTGACGGTGATAATCCAGGTAAGAATAACAATTTTTTCAAAAGCAGCAATCTGTGCCAACCAAATTGGTTTTTAAACAAGTATATCAGACAAAATTTTTTAAGCGCAAGTGATATAACAGACAGATAGATGCTAGCACCAAATGGAACTAATGATTTAAAAAGGATAGGGACCAGCAGGTGGCATAATGGCTATGTTGCTGGACTCCCATGTAGTCGGCCGTGGTTTGAGTCCCAGACCCAGTGGCTTAAATTCACACCGGGCACATGCGCAAGCATGCCCAAGATTCCGAGAAGAGAATGGAGGAGAAGGGATTGTGGCATGGCCATCCCCCCTGGGGGGTGATTTCTCGCTTTCTGTCTCTGGCGAGCGCACGCGCCTTATAGCAAAAACCTCTCCAAAAAAAAAAAAAAAAATCAAAACAAAGGATAACAATAATAAAAGGTACACTTTAAGTCTGAGTAAATAAAAGTACCCAGCTGAAATAAGGCTGGAAAAGAAAAAAAGTCCACATATTTATATTTTTTGGTCCTAGATAAGAAAATAAGAATATGCGACAAATTTTTATCTCTGTAACAAGCTAAATTATACTCAAATCCCTTCAAATGATAGGGATGATAGGTAAAGAGTTCTAGAAAGCACAAAGCACATCTCTTTTTCTCCCCCTACCGCCTCCACACCAAAGACTGTATGTATTTTAAAGGTTTGAGCTTTAGCCTATATGGAGAAACAGATGAAAAAGAAAAAACAGGTGACATTTTGCTTTACATTGTCAATTACTGAAAAACAAGTAAACTCACACAACAAAAACTCAAACAAACCCTCCAAACCAACAAATATGCACACAAAAAACCCAGGTCAACAAGGAATCTTGAAGTAATACATGGAACAAAGGATGAAATGGCACAAAAAGGTAAAAAACACAAAACAGAGGCAAGGCAACGTTCTGCCATGTTAGTACATCTTTTTATTTATTAATTCCTCTAAATATATTATTATTATTTTTTTAAGAGAGATTTTTGCTATTGAGTATGTGTGCTCTCCAGAGACAGAGGCAGAAAGCTAGATATCACTGCCCCCTCCCACCGCCCGAGGGATTGGCCACACTGCAATCCCTTCTTCTCCATTCTCCTCTTGGGATTTTGGGCATGCATGCACACGTACCCGGTATGAGTTTCAAGCCGCCAGCTCTGGGATTTGAACTGCGGTCAGCCATGTGGGAGTCCAGTGATGTAACCATTAGGCAATCTGCCAGCACCTCAATTTATTTATGTATTTATTTATAGAATTATTTCAACTTTAATTAATTAATTATAATTTGACCAGAGAGGGACAGAGTGAGGGGGAGAGAGGGAGAGGGAGGGGAGAGAGAGAGAGAGAGAAAGAGAGAGAAAGTGAGAAACCAAGCCACCAGGTCTAGGACTTGAATCACAGCTGGCTATGTGGGTGTCTAGCGCCAGCTGCCAGCCCCCCCAAATATATTATTATTCCACTACATTCTAGGAAGTGGCTTAAAGGCAGAATTATTATTATTTTTTTTTTGGAGAGGCTTTTGCTATAGGGTGTGTGCACTCACTAGAGAGACAGAGAGACAGAAAGCAAGAAATCACCCCCCAAGGGGGATGGCCACACCACAATCCCTTCTCCTCCATTCTCCTCTCCTGATCTTAGGCACGCACGAACACGTGCCTGGCTTGAGTTTAAGCCACCGGGTTGGGAACTCGAACCGCGGTCGACTACATGGGAGTCCAGCGACACAGCCATTACGCTAACTGCTGTTCCCCAGAATTTTTTTTTTTTTGGAGAGGTTTTCGCTATAGGGCACGTGCGTTCGCCAGACCGACAGAGAGAGACAGAGAGACAGAAAGCGAGAAATCACCCCCCAGGGGGGATGGCCACACCACAATCCCTTCTCCTCCATTTTCCTCTCGGGATCTTGGGCACGCACGCACACTTGCCCAGCGTGAGTTTTAAGCCACCGGGTCCGGGACGTGAACCACGGTCAACTATGTGGGAGTCCAGCAACATAGCCATTACGCTAACTGTTGGTTCCCCCCAGAATATTTTTTTAAAAACTGCCAGAGGGTTTATGCACTTGCCAGAAACACGGAGAGGAAGGGAGAAAGCACCTCCCAATGGGATGCAGAAATATTTAAAAAGTCAAATCAAAGAGCTAATAATTACAAACTTCTTCTATTCATTAAAATATCACTGATTACTATCATTCATTTTGAGTTTTTATGAGAAAAGTTAAAATCTACAAACTGAGGTAGAAAACTTAAACAAAGGATTGTATTAATTAAATTGTTTTTAAGACATTGAGTAGCCTGGGGGGAAATAATCATTGATTTCCTGAGTTAATCTCCAGATGCATTATTTATAGTTTCCTTTATGCTTGTCTGTTCTGGACCTGTGAGTTTCTAGGAACAGAACTCTGCCTAGTGTTACCAGCTGCTGAAGGCAGCGTCTAACCATGAATATAAGTATGATTTCTTCCCAGTTACAGGGTGATACTTGGTAAGTATAATTGGCAGCTTCCAAGGAATCATAACAAACACAATTAACCACTGGAAAGGATTTAACAAAAAAGAAAAAAACAGTGAAAGGCAGAGGAAGGTTCAGACACAAACTCAACTATTAAAAAGTCACACTAGGGGCTGGCAGGTGGTGGTTGGGGCACTGGACTTCCACATGGCCAACTGTGGTTCAAGTCTGGGATCTGGCACCTTGCTTTCTTGCTCTCTCTCTCTGCTCAAATTGAATACTATTACTAGTAGTAATAATAAATAAAATAATACAAATAATAATAAATAAAATTAAATAGTTAAAAAAAGGTCACCCTATTAGGGCCAGCAGGTGGCATGGTTAAGGGTGCTGGACTCCCACATGGCTGACCACGGTTTGAGTCCTGGACCTGACAGCTTGCTTTCTCATGCTCCCCCCTCATTCTGTCTCTCTTGGGTCAAATTAAAAATAAATAATATAAATAAAATTAAACAAAGTGATTTTTTTTTAAATTATCTAATTTTTAATGCTGGTAATGAAATGTA